AAAGGATATTTCTTTAACCAAAATTTTACACAAGGTAAATACAGTTTCGCAAACACGAGCGAGAAAGCGGCAAAGATTCAAGAGCTTTAAAATGCGCAAAAACACCAACTTTGCATGTAATAATTTGGAATGTAACACAGAGGCAAAGCGGAGCTTCGCACCACTTGCGATACACCACAAAGATAAAAACATAAGTCGAAGAGAAATTCGAATGTTGAAAAAAACTAGGTAAACCAATTAAAACAATTAGGTCTCGATTAAAACAACTAGGTACCCAGCTAAAGCTGGCGATACGTGTTTGATGTTAAATGAATTTGCTACACTGATGCGACACCGAAAACGTGACTCCAAAAGTTGATCTTTGCCCAAAAGCCTAGATGTTTCTCTAATAAAATGAAGGAGAAGAGAGAAAACATTGATATAATCATTTTTCAAAGAGAGATAACATTCCTCTTACAAAAAATTAAGAAATCGCCGCTTCTGCGGGAGCAATTATCCCAGCCGGTTCTTCCAATTGAACTTTTCATCTGAGATTTGATTCGGTAAATATTAAGAAAATTCAAAAAAATTCGAAAAAAAGGTCAAAAGTTCTAAAAAACGGTAAAAAGACTTTCAAAATGCATACCTCTTTTTCAGCACAAATCAGGTTGTGGCAGCTCAAGCAGCAAATATTTCCAAAATGAGTTTGTCGATTGAACACAACCTGAAAATCGGCACGGTAGTTTTCGCGTTAAGTCGAAAAGTTTGCAAAAAATTGTAAAAGTTTCAAAACTCCGACTCGTTGTTGAAAGCCATAACTTTTCCCAGCGAGAAAAGTCCACAAAAAATCAACAAATCAAAAATTTGACCTTTCTGAGAATCATAGCTTTTTGTGTGAAAAAATAGTGCGCAGCCACTTATGCAGAAGGAATACACGCTAACTGTAATTTCGATTGAATCCAAAAGCTCAGACTTGCAAGCGTAGTTCTCGAGAAAAGTCGATAACTTAAAAAAAAACGGTCATAAAAATCAAAACTTTATTTTGTCCGAGAGCCAAAACTTTTGGTATCAGAAAAATTCGGGCGTTTTCGCATAAGCAAATGAGTTTCCTACAACCCATTTTTAGAATTGAACCCCTCAGATATGGCAGGGTAGTTTTCAAGAATATTCAAGTTTAAAAAACGGCCAAAAATCAAAAATTTGACTTTCCCAAGGCAATAACTTTTTTTGTACAAAACTTTGTAAGTGCCCAATGAAACAGCACAGCTTCCTCCCACTACCTATTATCTCCAATGAACCCACAATATCATATATGAGAGGCTTGTTTTCGCGATAAGTCAAAATGATTCACAAAACGATCAAAAATCAAATATTTGACTATTCCGAGGGCCATAAATTATGTGTACAAAAAAAAAACTTGGGCGTAGCCGTTCAATGAAACCAAAATTTAGGAGCAGTAGTTTTCGAGGAAACGAAAAAAAAGGTCAAATAGTCCCCCACAGACTTTTCGAAGGCTGTAGACAGAGGGGTTAAGTGAAAAGAGACTATAAGTGAGTATTCGGGCACACAAGGGATTAGGCGGTCTTTCAATTGATCCCCCTTTTGTGAAAATCAGAAGAAGTTTTTGAGCTAAACTAAAAATTTTCTAATATATTGGAAAATAATTTTCTATAACGAAAAACAAAGAAACTTCAACAAACCTATTGGTAAACAAACAAAAAAAATAGAAGTGCAGAGAGGAGTGTTAAAATTGTGTTTCGCTTGAAGCGACCCAAAATTAGGTCCTTAAGTTGATAAAAAGTAGGCCGAAATAATTTGGGACTAATTTTTTTTAGCGAAACAACAAAAAACAGAAGGAAATATGAAGTCGGGGTAAGTAAAATTACAAACTGTAGGAGTAAATCAAATACTGAAAGTAAGATTAGAGAAAAATGCGCGCAGCAAAATAAACGATTCCAAGAAATGACAACTAAGCCTTCAACACATAAGCAGACAAACAATTGACCGAAAAATTTCTTAAGCGAAAAAAAAGAAAATATACGAAGTCAAGGTTTGTAGAATTACATATTGCAGGAATAAATGAAATTAAAAAAGCAACTATATTAAAACTGCCTTCAGCAAAAAATTCTAAGATGTGACAACTAAGCCGACTAAACATAAGCAAACAACTCCAGCCGGCAAGTTTTTTTAAAACGGAATATTTCCAGTCTAAAAACAAGCCCTGCTCAAATTCGAACCCAGGACCTTTAATGTACCAGGCGTAGTAGCTACCTCTTGACTATGTGTGCTGGAGACGCTTAGAAAATTGAATTCATTATGAAACAAGGCACCAATTGATTATGTTAATCAAGTTGTTGACCCGAAAAAAAACTATATTCCGGTTTGATACCGCTTGCTTATCGCAAGCGTAGTAAGCTAAAGGCAAGCACAATAACTTTGCATGGAACAAATTTGTACGAATTAAACCAAATTGCGTATAAAATATGCATTTCAAAAATCTCGCTAAGTGATTTGTTAGAACATTTCGGAAATTGGATTTAAATTAATATACAGTTGTATAAAAAGTTTGTTTTCCGGTTCAATTGATGAATTAAAAAAAAGCATCATCTGTGTTAGCTTATTACTAATCAAAAATCATATCAAACACTTATCTTTATGACTCTTTTTCCTTTTCCTCCACCTGCAACTTTTTACAAGTTTATTTATTGTTCACATTGTCCGATTGTTATAAAAACTGACACGCAGATTAATTAGGCAGGTTATGACAAGCATATTTGGTCTTCATAACTAAAGTGTGAAACCACTAGTTGCACCAAAAAAATTGATTCTCGTGTACGGTGGTGGGGAAGAAACCACTTTTACTTGCGACTGAGTTTGGAAAAAAGTTGCATCGTACGACGCTACGTTGCTGTAACGACTGAAGATGTCTAAATTATACATATATAAAGAAAAATAGGGAGCTTAGAAGTCTGAAAAACAGAAACAAAAGATGATTGAGCCGTTTGAAATGGATACCACACAAGAAACCAGTAGAGAAGGAAGTTCTGCTCAAAAATTGGACAATTTCTTAAATAAAGAAAGTAGTAGTAGTTTAGACTTTGGATCATCTGATCCAGTGCTCGCGCCTGTCACTTCACAGCTGAGCTGCCTTTCTGAAGTGGGTTCCTATGTCCGCATTTGCACATGAAATTTTTGGTTGGTACGTAGATGACATCATACGTACCTCGAAACGCGGGGAAATTGAGGAAATTGTAAGACAAGCCAATACTCTTCATCCCTGCTTGAAGTTCACTATTGAGTTAGAGTGTGATGGGAAACTACCTTTTCTGGACATGTTACTGCATCGTGACAAGTGCAGAGTAGAAAAGCCGTAGCGTACCAAACCAACGGACACGGTTTTTGTTCATGTCTTTTCGTGCTTGTGCTCCGAATGAATACCAGCGCAATATTATTGAAGGCACCGTACCCGCCTACACAACACCACTCCTAGTTGGACAGCCTTTCACGACGGCCTCAGTAAGGCTTAGAAATCTTGGGAGAAGAACCAGCAACCGCCGGCTTTTTACGAGCCTATAGTGGAATCTACTGTCAACAAGATCTTGACAACTTGTGCTCCTGAACATAGAAATGATTCCGATAGCAGTCGGACTGAAAGACCTGTCTTGATGCTGCAAGATAGGGGACAATTTTCTGACAAAATAGCAAAAAGAGTCCGCCAGACCATCGGCGCCTCAGTCATTTTCATGACAAAAAAATTGAAAAACGCGCTGCCCTCCCTCAAGTCTCCGGTCAATGGACTGCTTCGTAGTAATGTTGTGTACCAGTTTACACGTCCTGGATGTGATTCCAGCTGTGGGCCAGACGGCACGACATCTCACAACAAGAATCGAAGAACACAAACAACAGAGCGGCAGGGTTGGTATCCATCTGAGAGAGTGCGGAGCAGAGGTCAAAAGCATACAATCGAAGATCATAGACTTTTTCAGCAACAATTCCAAGCTGCTGACGCTTGAGGTCATCTACATCGCCAGGCTGCGTCCCGTTCTCAAGGCAAAAGAAGATTACCGGCAACGCGATCTGACCTTGCGGTCGTGATTGACGTCCGTTTCTTTGTTCCAGTTTATCTGGCGAGACAAATTGTATTGATTTTTATAATTTCCTATATTTTTCTCATGATTACGACTTACTGTTTGCGTTGTCTTCAAACTTATTGATTTTTAGAAATGCTGATGATGTCTTACGACGGAAACGTTTCATTTTAATAAAGTACATTGATTATCTTTATTCATCGCCCATTTCAGAATAGCTTCGTTAATAAAAATTTATTGATTTCGCTCATTGATATGTTTGTCTGTTTTGTGATTATGCTTAAAAGATAAGAAAATCTTAACCAGAAGTTTTCGTCTGCATTTTTGAGCGTGTTTCTTTGGTAGAACTATACATGCGTGTTGTCTAGTTATTGTAGCTGTTTCTGTTTTTGCTCTTATAGGTAGGTCAATGATGTTAATTTCCTATAAGAAAAGAGAGTAATAGGAGATCATGCGTTCCAAAATACATAGAAAGAGGTATAATTTTCCGCTTTTCCAGTCTGGACTGGTAATTTTTCAAGTAGCCGAGCCGATTTAAAAAATTGCAATTACGTTTTTGAAAATAAAATGAATTCTAAGAAAATCGACAAAACCATAATTTATTTCAAACATTAGCAGTTTAATTGTCAAAATTTTTAGGAGGCGTGGCAACGATAAAATCTTACTTCGTAATCCTACTGAAAAAAAATTTAAAAACTAAAACTAAAAAAGTAAAAATGTAAAAAGTAAAAACAGAAAAATATGGGAAAAGTAAAACCTAACAAAATATGCTACCTTTTATGACAGATTAAAAAAAACCTCACTTAATCTGATGTTGCTTTGACTACTTGAATTTGCAGGAACTTTTATACAAATTCGAAGTCTTCAATGGGCATTTTGACAGCAATACATAGGTTAATAACAGATACGTGGACGGTTACATGAGTAACTAACCATGTGGAGGTGGCCCATATGGTCCTGGTCCTCCAGGGTACATGTGGGGAGGGGGAGGTCTGCCTCGCATTCCGTACATAGGTGGCTGGCCGTACAAGTCTATATCATGACTGTACATTGCTGGATATGAATCCAGAGGCTCATCTGGGTAAATGATAGATTCCATCTCTGATTTAGTGCTGCGGAATACTTCAATCCATCTGCAAAAACGATCGCGCAAATCATAGACCAATTGAATGTTATATTCATTGGGAAAAAAATCAACCACGTTGTCCAAATTTTTACTCACCAAAAGGGGCTCCTAAAAATTCGCGGAAACTCCCTAACCTTTTCCGAAAACAACTTCGCCACCACCCTCTCTGAATTTTAGCAGTTAACTCCCTTTCAACTACCTTGAGCCGATATTTTGCTTGTTTTTGGCTAAGGCTTTTTCCATGGAACTATCGTCAGCCATTTCAACGAACGCCTCCCCGTTGCAAGTGCCGCGCCCCATCTTGTCGGGAACGAAGTGGATCCCATCGCCTGCCCCCTTCAATTCACACCCTAACCACAAGAAAAGCCTTCAGTACCCCCATCACAAACAATCTAACGAATGATAAATGCTTTTGAGAACACAACTAAAACACACCCTGCAGAAAATCCTGAATCTCTTCTCGTCTCACATGGAACGGCAACCCCCGTAGTTTCAGAATATTTTCCTTTTTTGCTTCCCCAACATGCTCCAGAACTCTTTTCAACTCTTCGATCTTTGCTGGGTAAACTGCCAAAATCAAAAAGTAAGACCCCCACTATCATAGGATGATAAAGTACAACATACCTAAAAATTTACTCACCTTCGACGTAACGTTTTCCTATGGTATTTTTGTTTTTGGCAATTGCTGCTACCTCTTCTTCCCTGGTATACAATTCCAAATAAATTTCTCCGGAAAATCTTCCATTCGTTTCAACTCTATGAATTTGCTCACGCGTTCTCAGCACAATTTCCGCTAAAACAACAAAAAGAGGCTTCTAATGATATACGTATGAGTCTTCTGATATCAAGCGACATCTGGAAATTAATAATGTTCAATGAGTGAATGCACTACATTCCGAAAGTCTGAAACGCTTACGTTCAAAGAATTCGGCAATCTCATCGTCAGTAACAGACCATGGTAACCCTCGTGCTCTGATAACAAACTGCCTTCCTCCTCCAAGCTCCGTGCTCGTCTCACTCGCTGGTTCTCCGACTGCAAGATTTGAACTCGGAGCAGGCGCATAACCCGACAAGTAATCAGTTTTGGTATCACTGTACTGGGACGTTGTACCTCCATACATCGAAGGATAAGCAGTACTGGCTGCATACGAATCCATCTAAAAAACAGTCAAGGACAATCGGAAGGTCAAAATTGTCCAAAAATATTAAGAAAAAAACCAGTCAGAAGAATTTGGGACAGACATTCAAAAAAGTTAGTTTTACCTAAATCAGTTCAGCCAACTGAAATTTTTCTACAATCTGTGCAGCAGCTACAACAAAGGCTGTAAGAAGACAGTCGCCAGCAACAGCCAAAGGAAACCATGTCCGAAGTTCACAATTGTACAATAACATTATACCAGAATTATTCAAAAGCAATTACACCTATTGCGCGTACAGCAAACCTAGTTGCCTTTATTACGGAAGCTCTATCATAATGTCAGAAGATGGAGTAGAAAATTAATCTCTGGTATTTAGATGATGGAAATTTAGCCGACGACTATAAAGTACTACTCCCGCCCTTGAAAACATACGGAACAAACTTACGGCCTGAGCTTGAACACTGAATAGTTTGAACTGTTTTTTTTTTCGACCGACCATTCGCAAAAAAAAAGTTTTTTTTTTATCTAATTACATGAAAGATTAGTCTGACATTAGGCATGTCCGCTTGATTCGATTTCTTTCCAATCAAACCATACAAAATGAGTAAAATATATTGATTAAACCTTAGAAAAAATTTCAAACAGGTGAGAAAATCGGGAACACATTTCGGACATACGCTGGAGAACGAAATATTTCCCAAAACGATACGTGAGAAAAGGCATGAAAGCTACTCAGAAACAATAGTTTATATAAGAACTAAGATAAGCTTCGCGCTGCTCAGGAGCGCTATCCTTAGCCTAATTGTTGTGATAAACTTATTAAATAGTTTCAAATTTGATATGGCACGCAACAAGCGTCTTGCAAGTGCAAGTAATTCAATGTGCGGGTCCTGCAGCAGAAAAATCAAGGACAAAGAGGAACAAGCAATCCAATGCGACAAATGCGACAATTGGCTACACCAAAAATGTACTGATGTCCCGCTGGAGGCCCTCAACCTATTCGATGTTGTGAAAGGAATCAAATGGTTTTGTGACCATTGTCTTAACCCCGTAAAACAACTGATGGCCAGAAACGAGTCCATGGATGAGGCCGTTGGAATCATTAAGGCAACCATATCAGAACTGAAGGAGGATCTCAATAAAGCTAAGTATAATTCTACGTCACTAATAACTTCCAACCCAACCCCGCCAGCACCCAACGAAAATAATTTAGAAATTAGAGTAAATGGAATAAAGGAATATACACGGAAGAAAGACGCAAATGGCAAAGATATAATTGCAACTCAAGACGAAATTTTGTCTCATGATTCATATGAAATTGAAAAAGTGCTTAACCACCTAGGGGAAGAAACAAACTGTATCGCCGACTTAAAACGTCTGGGAAAATTTGACAAAGACAAAAAACGCCCTCGTACTATTTTACTGCGACTGAACAATACCTGGACTGCGAGAAAACTTCTAGCGAAAGCAAAGCAGCTGAAAACCTTCGAGGGAGCAACAAAAGTGTTTATATCTAAAAGTTTGAATAAAGAGGAACAAGAAATAGAAAATAAATTATTGATGAAAAGAAGAGAATTGATTAACGACGGAACAACCACAAAAGATATACGCATAATAGGACTGAAATTATATGTCAATGGACACGAAACCAAAATTGATTGACTATCAAGTACTACGGAAGATTTAGATGTATTATGTTTCAATATCAGAAGTATATACCTTCTTCAGCGTAGAGTGGAGCTTTCATCATTTCTTGACTCGCAGAACTACAAAATTATTCTAATATCAGAAACTTGGCTTATTGATGAACAGGAAGATAGCGAAATTTTTCTGCCGTCTTATCAACTATTTAGATCTGATAGAAAAGCTCCTAAAGGTCAGACAAAGCACGGAGGCGTTATGATTGGAATTATGCACTCATTTCATTGTCAAAAAATATCACTACCTGAAGAAAGCCAAGGTGCTGCTGTAGGGTGCATAGTAAATTTTCAGAACAGAAAAATATTAATTGTTAGCTTCTACAATCCACCGCAAACCAGCCACTATCACCTTAACGATGAAATGATCAAATTAATTTTTAAAGAAATTGAAACATTGATGTCACAGGTTGATGCAACAATAATCTACGGCGATTTCAACTTGGATATCGACTGGAACATCAGAAGTAGCGAAAATTGCGAATCTCAGAGTTTCCTTGATGTAGTTGATCACCTTGAACTAGAACAACATATAGATTTCCCAACAGCTGCTACGGGTACTTTAGATCTCTTATTCTCAAAAGGTGAACTGAATCTCGTCTCAACGAAAGTCAAACCCTTATCCATTTCAAGCATGTCAAACCATTTTCCAATTACAGCAAAGTTTGAAATTCGAAAAGTAAACAATGTTTTCCGATCATACCACAATGAGTCGAAAATGTTCAGCTACTGTAAAGCCGATTTTAAAGCCTTAAATGCGGATATAATAGACAACCCTTTTCAAAGCTTCTGTTGGTCTAACCCTGATGTGTTATTGTCGGACTGGTATAAATGGTTGAACATCAAAATCGAACGCCATGTCCCTACTCGAACAAGGCATCGAGCCAGACTCGCGCCATGGATTACCCAATCCACATCCAATATCATCATGAAATTGAACACCGCTAAGAAAATGTACCCAGCTCTGCACAACCGTGTTTTATCTCTACAAAAAGAATGCGATTTTGCCGTTGAACAAGACCAAATTAACTTTGAATCAGAGCTATCTGATTCTAGATCAACTGATAAGCTTTTCAAATTTTACCGTACATTTAAGTCGTCCAGAATACCATCAAAACTTATTTATGGTAGCAAAGAAGCTCAATCAAATGCCGAAAAAGTGGAACTTTTTGCCGATTTCTTTGACGATAATTTCTCAAAACCCTCCGATCCTCCAAGTCTTGGTGAGCCTCAACTTATCAACCACGAAATTAGATGATTTTGATATCTCGGAGCAACGCATACAGAACATCTGCAGAACTCTGGACTGTACAAAAGCAAGTGGCCCAGATAAAGTACCCGCAATTCTTTATAAGAACTGCTCAAAAAACATCGCTAAATGTTATTTTCTATAAGATCAAACAAACCTGCATTTTCCCCAGCTATTGGAAATGCGCGATCGTTAACCCGACTCATAAGAAATCGTGTAAATATATGGTGGAAAACTACAGACCGGTTTCGTTACTTGCAATCGTATCTAAAATTCTTGAGCGATGTATGTTCCTCGACATCTACGAATTTTTCGAGCCGCTCATCTCCAATCAGCAATACGGTTTCCGCAAAGGACGATCATGTTTAGTTCAAATGATTGTTTATCTGAACAAGGTCTATAAAGCAATCAATGATGGAAAATCTGTAGAAGTTGTGTACACAGATTACGAAAAGGCATTTGACAGAGTAGACCATCAATTATTGCTGCGCAAAATTCAAGATATCGGTATAAGTGGGAAATTGCTCAAACTACTCCGCTCGTATCTTACCAAACGATACCACAAAATAAGGGTAGAAAATCAATTATCCACAGAAAGATTATTAAACAGTGGTGTCCCACAAGGGTCAATATTAGCAAGCATCTTATTTCTTATCTACATAAATGACATACCATCGCAATGTAAATTCTCTACACCTCTCATATGCGCCGATGATGTCAAATTCATTAACATCAATCAACAGAGCAACATTTTTCAAACTGATCTAGACAGAGTGTTCAAATGGAGCTCATCTCACAAACAAACGCTGCATGTTGGTAAATGCTCTTACATGAGCTTTACAGGTGAATGCAACCAAATGACTTTCAATAATATTGCAATACCGGAAGTTGAAGTACAGAAAGATCTTGGGTTATTAGTCTCGCGGATTATGAAATGGAATGAAACTATAAGCAATAATATATCCAAAGCCCTTAAGACCTTTTATATGCTGAAACGAAACACTCCAAAGGGACTACCAATGCGAGTGAAACTTAATATATTTAAATCGATGATTTTACAAGTGCTGTTATATGGGTCAAGTTGCTGGGCAGCAAGCATTAAAATGCTTAGATTGATCGAAAAAGTGCAAGAGAAAGCACTGACATGGGTAAATGGCCGGAACGACTACGTAACAAATCTGATGCAATGCAACATTTTACCGCTGACCTTGTATATGCAATTATTGGATCTACTATTTATGTCCAAGATGTTGAATGGTTACTATAAAACTGATGCCACAGAGTATTTTTGTTTAAAGGAATTCGACAGAGCCACCCGGTTATCAGAGAAACCTTTTTTCGAACTGCCGAAAATAAAGAAATCTATCTACCAACAGGAGTTTTGGCTCAGAACCTGCAAACTTGTGAACATCTTACCAAATTCAATCGACTACTCCAACCATCAGGGACTCAAACCACGACTACTGAAGCACTTCTGGAATTACTTCATGACAAACTATAGATACAACGATATTTCGACATGGAAACTTGCATGACGCTGAAACTTAAGGGTGGAAACACCCAAGCTCTAATAGCTGAATCCATAATAATAATAATAATAATAATATACGGGGATGCAGATCATTGCGTTAGACGCATTTCTAAGAAAATTCCATAAGTGCTATTATAGAGGAGGGACGGTTGAAGTATGTACCTTTGATGAAAACGCATTAAAGGCTGACTTGATAAAAATTGTTAAATGATGTATTTATATAAAGCTGGTATGATCCTATCCAGCTTGTGCACTACCGTTACTAAACGGAAGGGCCCTCGATATAATTTACTTTTTTTGAATTACCTATGAATTTACAAAGGAAATTTTATCGAACCTTACTGCGATACCTGGACAAAAACCTTATCCCTACACCAAAACCAGCAAAATAAAGTCCGACCTTTGATAGAGTTGAGCAGAACTTTTTATCATAGGAATTATTTTGTAATTTGGCACGAAAATATCAAAAACAGCATAAGGAAGCAACGATCGAATCACCGTGCTTGCGAAATGGACGAAATGAAATATACAGCAACTATAAGCAAAATCAACACCGACACGAAGCAATTGTCAACTGTCAGAGAGAAAACACTCAAAAACATCTTCCAGAAATTTCTCGAGACAGGCTGCGTTGTAATTCAAGATACAAAAAAAGTCATCTCATCTGGGAAACAGAGGCAAATTGTCACAGTTGCTGACAAGAGGTAGAAGAAAACATAAACAAGGTGCGAAAGAGACAAGTTAAGGCAAAAACACCTGGCGAGAGGGGCTAATCGGTTACCTACGGACGTAGTTTTCCGTAGTTCTGATAACCTTCTAAGCGATGGCTCAAATTGCTGTGCCACATCTACCTTAGCGATGGTCACGCATACTTGGGAAGAGAACTGATGATTGGCGACCTCTAAATAAATAACTTGACTTTTAGTTGTACATACCTGAGGATGCTAATTATTGCGCAAACGTTCGTATCGTAAACAGAAGGTTATTGTTTTATAATAAAAGTAACCTGAGGCTACAGTCAGAAGTACCTTCATCATATTATCCAGTCAAAATCAAAAGAATTTTCTAGATATGAAAGTGTAAAAAATAGATGGGATGGAAGTAAAGAGAGTCAGATGGTTGGCGATCAACTTATAAGGAATTCAATTCAATTTTCAGCTGCCGTTTTGACGATTTGAATCCTAGATTTTTACACGCTATCACATTCAACCAATGCAATACAAATTTATCCTGGTAACCGTTGACTGTTTTTGAATCAAGAGGTTCTAGTTTCAAAAATTTTGAGAACTTTCTTTTTTAAAAATTGGCTCCGTTCAATTGTTTTAAGGTTCATTATCTTGTGGTTTTC